GCCAGTGGTGCGTTGCGACTGTCGCGTAGCATGTCCAGATTCCAGTCACTGACGCTTGCGAAAAGCGTGTCGTCCTTGGCGAGGGCTTCGAGTGATCTCTGGGGGGGGAGCCGTGGCTGCTGTTGGTTACCCCTCGCTGCAGTTCGCGGTGCAATTGCAGGTGATGGTGTTCGATGTGGTTGTGCAGGCTGGTTGGCAGTGGTGGCACGGTGGTCGGAAGCGGTTTGAATCTGTGGAGAGGGTCGCGGCTGGGTGGGTGTATTTCTGAAATTTCTTGCCGCGCTCCGGGCGTGGGTTGAGCCGACTCTCTGCCGAGCAGGAGTTTGTGATTGGGCCTCCTTTGAGGCATTCGAACTTAAGGGTGAGTCTGCTTCCTCCTCCTCCGCCTCATAAATACTCCCCGACACTACGTCTTCTTCATTAGCTCTTCCTAACTCGTTTAAAGCCCTTCGAGCTGCTGTCTGGAAAGCATTCTCCGGCCCACCCTCACGCGTACCCCTACCACACCCGCGACCTCCGGCTCGACCCCCGCGCATCCGCGCACTGGCTGCGGCCAGCAGTGGACTTTCGCGACTACATCCTCCTGCGCTCTGACGCACCCGTGCGTCCTCCAGCGCTTGCTGCCGGCGCGTTCACCGTAATGGCGACTGAAGCGGAGAAGTCGGCGGTAGACAAAGGTCACACCACTGAGACTCTGGCCCTTGCTGCTGCCGCTGCTGTTGCTCCCCCGGCTCCTCCTGCCGCTGTTGCGGCATCGTCAATTCCTGTCCCGCTGGCTCCTGCCCCCCCGCCGAGCCTCCCCCTTACTCACGGTGTCCCCGTGTCTGGCGCGTCAGCTCCCGTTGCGCTGCAGACGCTTGTGGCGCCGCCGCCTGTCCAAGCTGTCGTCGGGGGCTCTGCGCAGGGGAAGGCGGTGGGCGCCGGCCCCGACTCTGCACACTTGGTGGCCCCCGCGACTGCGCCGGTACAGCCCGTCGCGCAGCGGCACGCGTAGTCACAGAGTCACGGTGCCGCGGGGCGAGGTTCTCCTCGGCGTCGCCCCTCCTCGTCGTACCGGTCGGCGCATCGCGGAGGTTGCGGTGGCTGGTGGGGAGGTCACGGTCGCGGGCGCGGTGGGCCAAGGGAAATGCAGCAGCTGCGCGAGGATTTCCCGGGGATGTTGGCTGCGGCGATGCGCGCTGCTCTGACGTGTGCACCGAATCTTGAAATCTCGCTAGCTCCTGCCGCTGCAGCACACGCCCCTGCTCCTGTGCATGCACGTGCTCTGCCGACCCCACACGCGGCTCTTGCGCCAAACGCCCAGGCGTACTCGCAGGCTCCTGTTGTTGATTGTGCTCCGCTGCGCCGTATCCCCCTCTGCCATGGATTCCTCCAGTTCCGGGCACGGGATTTGTGGGAGCGGGAGGTGGAGAGGCGAGGGGGGCCTTCGTCCCTCCGCGTCGGATTGCTGATGTTCCGTCTGCGCCGCCTCCGCCCGCTCGTCCAGTTCCTGCTGCCGCTCAGTCGACCGGACTGGCCAAAGTTCCCACGGCGACTCTCTCGCAGCTGTGGTGCTTGGTGGAATGTCAGCAGGTCCTGACACTGATTCTGGTGAATTCGCATTTTGCCATTCTCCAGAGCCCAGGGAGCACTCTCGATCATCATGTGCGAGCTAATTGCTTGACGGCGGCCGCGCAGTTTGCTTTCCTCCTGCTACCCGTGCTAGCAGCGCCCTTGATGCCCATCTGATGTAGTCTCTGGCACCCGCCGCCCATAGACCCGCTGCATTTTGCTTCTAGTAGTTGAGCGCGTAGGCTGACGTTGTCATGTCCTTTGTGTTTATTGTGTGTTCTGCATCTGATTCTTGCCGCCCAAAAGCACGTGGCTGCAAGCTGTGCACGCGAGCCCTGGCGGCCGAAGGCCGCCGGCGCGAGCGCCTACGTTTTCTCCCACGAAATGAACTAATGAAGAAAGAAGGTCCCCACGGGGCTCTTATATAGCTAGGGACTGAAGGGCAGAGGCTAAGTCCTCTCTCTCTCTCTCGCTCTCTCCGCCTACGTTTTCTACCACGAAATGAACTAATGAAGAAAGAAGGTCCCCACGGGGCTCTTATATAGCTAGGGACTGAGGGCAGAGGCAGAGGGCAGAGGCTAAGTCCTCTCTCTCTCTCTCAAATGGTCCTTTGTATTAATTCAGCAAGGGTACAGACAAACAGTTTGACTCGTGAATCCCTTAGACCCTCTGACCCATTAACCCATCCCTCGGACCCTCCCCCCCCCTGAGTGGCCCTCTACCCCTCCAGCGTGTGGAGGATGTCCCCTAGGTGCAGCGGCCATGGGTCTGCTGCCATCTGGGGGTGCGCCGCCTCGATCCCTTCCCTGGCCTTGGTGTGCAGGGCATTCGCCTGGGAGCGCTGGAGGGCCACTGACTAGCGCTGGCTGAAGTGGCAGGCCATCTTCTTGGCGGATTTCGCCAAGGGGTTGGCCCTGAAGCGGTTCCTAGCTGCTGCTGTAGCCAGCAGCTTTAGGAACGCCATCGTGGGGGGCGCGTTTGCCCCGTAGGTCCCGACGGCCAGAGCGCAGAACACCACGTGTTCTGTGTGCCTGAAGTAGTCCCTTTCTTTCCTCTTCTGTGCCTCTCTTGCAGCCCAGCCTGGGGGTTTGCGGGCTGCAGGGTCTCGGTTCTGTAGCACAGGGTCAGTGATAGTCGTGTCTGTGATCCAGGTCTCTCCACTGTCTGGGTCGCGTACAATCACATCGGCCTTCTTCGGGTCATCCGGTGGTGAGTACATTGCATTCTCCAGGTATACCACCAGCTGTGCCTCCCTCGCCATTTTAGCCACGGCGAAGGCCAGCTGGTTGTGTGCGCGTTCTGTCGGGGCCTGTGCTGCAGCGGAGTAGGTGGTTGGGGAGGCTGCAGTCGGCTACGAGCTCTCCACACTCGCACACGGTAGGTAGCATTTGATTATAATTATTTGTTTTTAGCAAAAATAGTCGATTTTTTATGCAAGACAAGCGGCGGTCACCAAGGCCTATTTGACACAGTGAATAATTCTCTTCATTTCCAATTAGGACTAACATTCTGTCGGATGCCCATGCGGAAGGCCATGGCTGTTCGGAATTGCCCTGGTGAAAAGCAGAGGTCTGGAGTCAGGGGTAGGGCTTGCAGCCATGCCCCCGCTCCCTCGCCTCTCAGGCTGACGAGGCGGAGCGTGTGCCCCATCTCGGGGGCAGACCTGATTGCGCGGGATTCCTCCGTCAGGGCGTCGGCCTTTGCCGCGTGCACTTCCCGAGAGAGGGCGCGCTGCAGCTGGTCTTGGGACGGGGGTTCCTGCTCCTCGCGGAGGTGTTGGAACGCCAGTGGCGGCAGTCGTCCCTCCATGTCCTGGATGGTGACCGAGTGCGCTGCAGACGGCTGCAGGGCGTTGCTGTTGCTCCCTAGCGCCGCGGTTGCTGTTGCTCCCTAGCGCCGCGGTTGCTGGAAGGTCCAGTGAGCGGAGCAGGCGTAACGCCTCTGTTGTTGAAGCCAGGTAGGCTGGTGCTGTTTCTGTTGTAGGGTCCGTGAGGCCCAGCCCACCCAGGGCTACTGGGAGGGTTGCTTGGTGGATAAGGAAGTTGAACTCGGCTTCACGGCGGGGGGGTTGGATGCTGGCGGCAGTCAAGGCGGTGTTGAGCAGTTCGGCGCACCACTCGTGCCATTCCGAAAGAGGTAAGACGTCTGCTTGGGTGGTGCGCAGCAGGTAGCCGATTCTGCGGCTGATGCAGCGAGACAATAGCAGGAGGGTATGCTGTGGATGGATGGATGCTAAGGGGCCCAGGGGTGCCGCCGCGTCAGCCAGGGTACTGCGGACGAGGTCAGAGCAGAAGCGCTGTGACCCCACAGGGCTTCCCAACACCCGTACCCCCTCGTGGGTGAGGGGAACGCCCTCGGGGAGCTCATCACCTTCGAGCGGCGAGGAGGACCACGCTGACGACTTTTTGAGGTTGCAGGTGAGGCCATCCTGGGCTAGCAGCGGCGTCAGCACCCTTAGCGCGCCGAGCGTTGCTGTCGCCGGTCCAATCATGGTGATGTCGTCTGCATATGCTAGGACCGTGACTTCGGGGTGCTCTGTCGCTACGCGTCTGAGGTGCTGCTGGATTGATGCTGCGAACAGAAGGGGTCCGAGGGGGTCCCCCTGCCTAACTCCCCTTCCGTTGGTGAGTGCCGTTGTGCTCAAGCGCGGATCGGTCAGCAACTGTGAAGGCGTCGTGTAGAAGGAGCGTGTGAAGGGTATGAGTGGGGCGAGCGGGGTGTTGGTGAGTGCGTTGAAGAACGCTTTCCTCTCTACGGAGTTGAACGCGTTCTCAATGTCGAGTTGGAGGACTAGGCTGGATGGATGTGAAGTGGTGAGGTCTCTGACTGCGTGGATAACGAACTCAGCCCCGCCTGGGACTGCCACGCCAAATTGTTGGGGTAAGAAAAATCGTCTTGTCTCTCCTTGCAGTTCTGAGAGTGCCACCTTTGCTGCCAGCCGAAGCAGGGATTCCCCTATCGCGATAGGGCGTACCCCCCCCCCTGGTTTCGCGAAGGCGATTAGGCGGGATGGCGAGAGTAGCGCTGCAACCTCGGTGGAGAGATTCGTCGAGAGCAGGTGTGTTACGGCGGAGTGCAGGTGCCCCAGTACCTCGATGTTACTTAGGGCTGGGTCGCGGTAATGTTCGAATGTTGACTTTGATGGACCAGCCCCAACTCCGCTGGGGCAATCCCCGAGGACGTTTGAGAAACTTTCCGTGGTGCACGAAATTTGCGTGGGTGTTGTGTAGGAGAGGACCCAGTCGGGCAGGTCAATTTGGGGTTGGGGATGTTTCGATTCCAACTGCTGCAGTGTCGCGATTGTCGCAGGGGCTGCTGGCGAGGGTTGGAAAGCTGCCAGCGCTTTTCGCGGGTTACCCCGTTTCACCAGTCCCTCCACACGTGAGCAGATTCCCAGGGGGTCATTTTGGTGCTGAGGTGGTTCGGCTTGGTGCAGGGACCCCGTGTAGTCACTGTACAGCTGGTTCCAGTGGCCACATCTGAATAGGTGCATCTGTTCTCGCAGCACTTCCACCTAGAGCTGGACCTCCTGCTAAGTCGTAAGGTGAGACGTGGCAGGAACATGAGGACCCGCCACGCTCCCGCGCAATTTGGCAGCTTGGAGATCTGTAAGAGGGCGGCCAGCATACAGGTGGAGTAATCACTTAGGATCTGCGGCGGCAGGCGGCGGACGATAGGCAGGTGAGTGGTCGACGTTAAGATAGTAGAGTCCCAGCTCATCGCGATCTCAAAGAGATCCTCCCTCGATGCCAGCTGGGACGCCGAAAGGGCCTGGTCCGGAGGGGGTTGGGGTCTGCGGTTCTGTCGGCGGCCGGATCCTCTCTCCTGCTGCTGCGCCTGCTCCACCCCCGCTTCCGCGCGGGGTGAGTCGGGATTGTCAGGTTGCCTCAGATCTGACGGTACATATTCGTCGCCACTCCCCTCTGCGTTTGTATCACCGATTCTCCCTGCTTGCGCTGTCGTTCCTCCTCTCGCCCCGCGCCTGGCGAACGACTGGCGCGTGACTCGTTCCGCCGGCTCCCCCAACCAGATTGGGCTCGGCGATTGGTGGGGATTCCCCCTTGCCGCTTGGCCTGCGCTCCGCTGTCCTCCGCGCGCTCCTCGACGCCCGCCTCTTCCCCGCGTGCTTCCCCGTCCGCTCCTCGGAGTGGCTGCCACTGGTGCAGCCTGTTGCGCCTGGGAGATCGGCGTTATCGGCTCGTCCCGGGCTAGTGACGCGCCTTGAGCGGGGGCCGATGGACTTCCTTGGTGCTCTGGGCCGTGACTGCGCCGCAGAGGTTGATCCTGCTCCCTGTCCGCTTCCTCCTGCATGTCCTGCCGCGAGCGTACCTGTTGCTCCGCCGGCGTCTGCGGATGAGATCCGTTGGCGCTTTGAGGATCAGAGGCGGGTTCTGGTTCCGCGCGGAGGCGGATCCTTGCCTCTGGGGGAGCCTGTGCGTGTGGGGTCCGTCGCGAGCTCCGGCGCAAAGGCTGTGGCGCACCGGGAGCGTTCGCCTCGCCATCGTTCATCGGCGGCCCGCGACGGTAAGCGGGAGAGCCGCCGCTACGATCGTCACGCTGACGTACGGCCGCAGCGGTCGCCGAGATCACCGCGGTCACCTCGTTCGCCTCGACACGTGGCGTCACGGAGCCGTTCCCGTGACCGCCGCTCGTATCGCCACCGTTCTCCCGCTCCCCGCTCCTCTCGTCCGCGTTTGCCTGCTCGCCATGCGTCTGGATATCGGTCCTCGGCTCCACGTTCTCCCCCTCCTGCGAAGCTCCAGCGGCTCTACTCTTCTCGTCGCACGGAGCGTTCCCCTGACCGCCAGCATCAGCGGGGCCTGTCTCGCCCGCAGTCGCCCGTGCGTTCGAACGCGAGTGGACGTGCGCGTCGTGGGCGAGGGGGGGGTTACGGTCGCGGCGGAACCGCTTGTCCAGCGCCTTCCGCAATGGAGCGAGTCCTGAAGAAATTGGACGGTGTGGAGAAAGCTCTCCACCGCTCCCATGCGGGGTCGTCCTCGCAATCTGCTCCTCCCGCTGCTCCAGTCGCTCCTCTCGCTGCGCTCCTGCCCCATAACCCCGTGGGATCCCCGGCGCGCTCAGCTCGTCCGCTGCCTGCGGGAACTGGTTTCGTTGGCGCGGGTGGCGGGGACCCGTGGACCCATTTCGCTCCGCCGCGTCCCCTCCTTGCTCCTCGTGATCTGGCAGTGTCGGCCCGCCGATCTCGCGCGTCTGCATTCCCTCCGCAGATGAAGCCAGTGCCCACGGCGACCCTGGCGCACTTGTGGTCGTTGGCGGAGTGCCTGCAGAGTCTTGAGCTGATTCTCCAGGAGTCACATGGCTCCATGTTGGAGACCCCGCCGAGCACGTTCTCTCAGTTGCCGCGAGCAAGGTGTCACGCGGCGATGTCAGCATTATTCTCGTACGTATCGCCACTGCAGGTCGCGCCCTCGCCGGGAGTAGTCTCGGCCACCCAGCTGGCTGAGAAGGCCCTGGATCTGAGGACGCTTGTAGCAACTCGTGGAACTCCTATTGACGTTGTTGGCGCCACCGCGTCAGTGGTCCGCCAGATGTGATTGACCACGCGCGAAACGCTTGGTGAGCTTGAGGCCGACCGCCTGTAGGCAGCCCCCTCGCGCGTGTGTAGACCCGTTCCATGGTTGCTTGTCTATTTGCTGTTGTCAGCCATGTTTGTTGTTCTTGCCGTCCGCATTGCCATCCTTGTTCATTCTCTTGTCGTCCCAAACACGCGGCCGCAGGCCGCGCCCGCGAGCGCCAGCGCGAAGCGCCGGAAAAAACTGAAACACCAAATGAAGAATGAGCTAGAAGGAAGGCCAAGGGGCCATTATATAGCTGGGGAAGAGAGGGGAAGGGCCTAGGAGGGAGGAGACTAAGTTCCTTGCTTCTCTCAAATGGTCCTTTGTATTAATTCAGCGGGGGTACAAACATACGGTTTGACTTGTGGTTCCCTTTAGACCCTCTGCCCCATTGACCCATCCCTCTGACCCTCCTCCCCCCTCAGTGACCCTCTACCCCTCCAGTGTGTGGAGGATGTCCCCCAGGTGCAGCGGCCATGGGTCTGCTGCCATCTGGGGGTGCGCCGCCTCGATCCCTGCCCTGGCCTTGGTGTGCAGGGCATTCGCCTGAGAGCGCTGGAGGGCCACTGACCAGCGCTGGCTGAAGTGGCAGGCCATATTCTTGGCGGTTTTCGCCAAGGGATTGGCCCTGAAGCGGTTCCTAGCTGCTGCTGTGGCCAGCAGCTTCAGGAACGCCGTCGTGGGGGGTGCGTTTGCCCCATAGGTCTCGACGGCTAGGGCGCAGAACACCACGTGTTCTGTGTGCCTGTAGTAGTCCCGTTCCTTCCTCTTCTGTGCCTCCCCTTGCAGCCCATCCAGGGGGTTTGCGGGCTGCTGGGTCACGGTTCTGTAGGACGGGGTCAGTGATGGTCGTGTCTGTGATCCATGTCTCACCACTGTCTGGGTCGCGTACAATCACATCTGCCTTCTTCGGGTCATCCGGAGGTGAGTACATTGAATTCTCTAGGTATACCACCAGCTGTGCCTCCCTCGCCATTTTAGCCACGGCGAAAGCCAGCTGGTTGTGTGTGCGTGTTCTGTCAGGGCCTGTGCTGCAGCGGAGTAGGTGGTTGGGGAGGCTGCAGTCGGCTACGAGCTCTCCACACTCGCACACGGTAGGTACGTTCTGTCGGATGCCCATGCGGAAGGCCAGGGCTGTTCGGAATTGCCCTGGTGAAAAGCAGAGGTCTGGGGTCAGGGGTAGGGCCTGCAGCCATGCCCCCGCTCCCTCACCTCTCAGGCTGACGAGGCGGAGCGTGTGCCCCATCTCGGGGGCAGACCTGATTGCGCGTGATTCCTCTGTCAGGGCGTCGGCTTTTGCCGCATGTACTTCCTGGGAAAGGGCGCGCTGCAGCTGGTCTTGGGACGGGGATTCCTGCTCCCCGCGGAGGATTTGCAATGCCAGTGGTGGCAGTCGTCCCTCCATGTCTTGGATGGTGACCGAGTGTGCTGCTTCTGTTGTCGAAGCCAGGTAGGCTGGTGCTGCTTCTGTGGTGGGGTCCGTGAGGCCTAGCCCACCCAGGGCTACTGGGAGGGTTGCTTGGCGAAGTAGGAAGTAGGGTTGCTTCTCTCTCTCTCTCGCTCTCTCGAGCGAAGTGCCGGAAAAAACTGAAACACCAAATGAAGGAAGGCCAAGTGGCCATTATATAGCTGGGGAAGAGAGGGGAAGGGCCTAGGAGGGAGGAGACTAAGTCCCTTGCTTCTCTCTCTCTCTCGCTCTCTCGAGCGAAGTGCCGGAAAAAACTGAAACACCAAATGAAGAATGAGCTAGAAGGAAGGCCAAGGGGCCATTATATAGCTGGGGAAGAGAGGGAAAGGGCCTAGGAGGGAGGAGACTAAGTCCCTTGCTTCTCTCTCTCTCTCTCAAATGGTCCTTTGTATTAATTCAGCGGGGGTACAAACATACGGTTTGACTCGTGGCTCCCTTAGACCCTCTGACCCATTGACCCATCTCTCTCTCTCTCTCTCTCTCTCTCTCTCTCTCTCTCTCTCTCTCTCTCTCTCTCTCTCTCTCTCTCTCTCTCTCTCTCTTTCTCATGCTCTCATGCTCTCTCTCATGCTCTCTCTCATGGCACCAGGCGTCTGTCACTCAACGACTTCAACGGGATGGTGCCGCTACTCAACACCCTTGTAGACCTCTCCTACCTGTAACCCATCTCCTCCACTCCCCTCCTGCATCTGCCTTCCCACAAAGAAACCTGCAACAAAGAAAACAAACGTTTCCACAGGCGCCTCAAAGCTCGTCCCTCTCTCAATCGTTCGTCCCGATCCACACTCACGCTTCCTCTCCCACTTCTGCTCAGAATCCTCTTCGTCACGTCCCCTTTCTGGTCCTTCCCATGCTGCTCTCGCACATAACCCGCGCTCCATTCTTTCCTGCTTTGTCTGTGTGCTTTGTGTCCACGATGTGCGTCATGTGTCTGCCTGTGCTTGTGTGGTGTGTGGCCAATGGAACCGTCGAGCACCAACACCAGGGACCTCAGCACCAACAAATTCATAGGCGAGATCACCGGCCTCCCCACTTCGCTCATCCACTTGTGTGTACCTCCCTCCTCCCACTTCTCACGTCTTCTCTACTTGCTTTCTGCAGCCTTATCTGTCGCTCTCTTCCCCACTTAACCGTTTTCCTCCGTCTCTTTTTCCATCCTTCTGCTCTACCTTCTCCATCTTCTTCGCTTGCATCACCACTTTCTCTCCACGTGTGTACAAGTCACCACCAAGCCTAGATTCGCCACCACCCGCCCCACTTGATTTAGTGCCTGTCCAGATTGCGTCTCAAGCAACTCTTGTCTTACCTTCCCATGTCTCAAACTTCCCAGCTCCTGCTACTGCCTCTCATATTGGCCTTAACCGCCTGTCCCAACTGTGTTCCTGCACGTGCGTGACTCTCTTCCTCCCTCCCCTCCTTCCCGGATCCCCCTCTCCTTCCCCCCTCCCTCCCCGCTCCTCCCCATCTGCCCCCCCCTTCCTCCTCTCCGCTCCTCCCTATCCTCCACCCCCTTCCCCAGGGGCTTGCAGTATAACCAGTTCACAGGGCCCGTCCCTGCCAACCTCACCACCCTCACCAAGCTCACCTACCTGTGCGTGTGCCTCTCCTGCTCCGCATGCGTCCGCCCATGCCACCAGCAACCACCCCTCCTCTCCGCTTTACATACTGCATGCCAAACCGCCCCTCAGGCTCACACCACAAACTCCGGATCCCAAGTTGTGCCGATGTGCTCCACCCACTGGCCCTCTCCCTTCCTCCTGCCCCTGGCAGCAACATGAAGTCCAACCAATTCTCCGGTGCCCTCCCGCCTGCCCTGGGCAATCTCGCCAACCTGGAGATCCTGTGAGCCTTTCTGTTCCAGCTTTGCCTTGCTCTCCTCTCCCTGCTCTGCTCTCCTCTCACCACCTCTGCTCTCCTTGCTCTGTCTGTCTGTCGTGCTCTTTCTCTCCCCCACCTTCTCCACCCCTCGTCAACCCCCCCACCCCCCTGCACCCTGTTCCTGTTCCTGTCTAACCTCCGCTTTCATTCCCTATCACCTTCCCTCTTCGCCCCTATCCCCAGCACCTTCCTTCCCCTCCCCACTCACCATCCCAAAAATTCCTTCCATCTCCTCTCATCAAATCACAATCACAGCTCCCCCCATCCCCCTCCCTCCCTTCTCCCTCCTCCACTCCCACTCCCCTCTCCTCACTCCCTTCTCCCCGCTTCCCCCTCCCCACTCGCCTCTCCCCGCTTCCTCATCCCCCCACAGCAACATGAACGAAAACAATCTCACAGGCGGCCTTCCCACAAGCATCTCTAACCTCGCCAAGCTCAATACCCTGTCAGTACCGCTACCCCCATGCCGCTCCCCCCATGCTGCTCCCCCCATGCTGCTCTAGCATGCTGCTCCCCCCATGCGGCTAACCGCATGCCACTACCCCCATGCCAGTCCCCCCATGCCGCTCCCCTCATGCCGCTTCCCCCATGCCGCTCGCCCCATGCCTCTTTCCACCTTGGCATATTGCACAGTGTCACAGCTGCTGCAGCAGCAGCTGCATTGCACTGCCACTCCACAGTCTTTAAGCTTATGCCCATGCTCAATCCAACATCTTTTGAGGCGGCTCAAAAGTCTGCAGCAGCAGCTGCACTGCACCGCCACTCCACAGTCTTTAAGCTTATGCCCATGCTCAATCCAACATCTTGTTAGCTGCGTTGTCAAATTGGAAACCCTGACTTGACGACTCTCGCAACGACTGAATGGCATGGAGATGGTGTGACATGACATGGCATGGCATGACATGACATGGCATGGCAATGGCAATGGCAACGACATGGCATGCTGCAGTGATCTGAGTTACAACAATCTCAGCGGCCCTCTTCCTTCCACTCTTGGCGCCCTGTCTGCTCTTGGGGCCCTGTAAGCTGCCATCCCCTTGTTCCTGCTGCTCCTCATTTCTCCCTCCTGCTTTCCCCACTTCTCTCCCTCTTCCCTCCCTTCCAACTCCCCCTCCCCGCGAAACCCCACTTCCAACCTGAAATTCCAAACACCTCAAGTCCATACTTCTCGTCGCCTGTCCCTTCTGTTTCTCTTCGCTGCCCCCATTCCCTCCCCTCCCTCGTTTTCACTTCCCCCCATCCCCTCGAGCTCACCCATTCCATCCTGCTTCCGCCTTTTCCCCCCATCACACGGACCTCTGCCTTTGAAGAAGCTAGATCTACTATCACAAGCATACCACACCACACCGCATCCCACCATTCTGGTGCAGGAGGAAGGGTCGCCATGTTACCCACCCTCCCCTGCTTGCCATGGCAGCGAGCTCAACGGCAACCACTTCTCAGGCTCCATCCCCCCTGCGATCTTTACCCTCACCCAAGTCACCATCCTGTAAGCAGCCCCCTCGACCTGTATGAAGTGCCTCCAACCCTGCCCTGCCCTGCCATGCCATGCCCTTCCTCTACACCGTTGGCTCACCCTAGCCCCTCCTATCCACTCACCCTTGCCCCACCCCTCACCCGTTTTCCAACCCAAAATCGTGACCTTTCTGTCTTGCCTACTCGCCTGGCCTTCTCTCTCTCACCCACTCATCTCACAACCTCTATGCTCCTCACTCTACACAGTGCATCCCACATGCACACAAAGTTTCCCCCCCACCAAATCATCACCACTCTACACTTCCATGCTTCAAATCATGGGTGGTTCGTTCAATCACCTTCCATGCCTCTCTCCGCATCCCCCCGCATCAGTCCCACCAACGTGCCATCTCCCCTCCCTGCTGACCTCTCTTGCTGCCTATCCTGTCCTGTCCTGTCCTGTCCTGTGCCGTCCTGTCCTGTCCACCATGGCAGGGGCATGAGGAGTAACGCGCTCACAGGCGACATCCCAGCCAGCATTGGCTCCCTTGCATCGATCCTCGTCCTGTGAGTCGTTCATCGTTCAGGGACTAACAACAACCTGCTGCCTTGTTGTTTTGATCCGCCCCAAGACTAGATCCCCTTGCATCTCTTGTCCAAATGTGAGTCTTTCTGGGACCGACTAACAACTCGCTGTCTCCTTGCTATTTGTTCATGTGATGTGAGTCAAGCTGCTGCTGTTGTAGCTTGCCTATACTGCGCATAAAGTGCGTCCTTCCCTTGCAGTGATTTCTCAGCTCAAATCTACCCTTCCTCTCCATTCTCTCCCTCTGACTGTATCTCCTTTCTCGGCCTGCCTCCATCTGTCTGCCTGTCTGTCTGCCTGTCTGCCTGTCTGCCTGTCTGTGCGCATGAGCAGCGATCTGAGTGACAACTCGCTCACGGGCACCGTGCCAGCGGTCATGGGCAAGCTAGCCAAGCTTGACGAGATGTAAGCACCTCTCACCACCCCACCCTGCTTTCCAACCGCTTGCCACCCACTTGCCACCCACTTGCCACCCGCTACCCATCTCCCCTTGCAGACCAGTCCATGGTGCCCCATCGCCACTCATATGCCTCTCCACGTTCACTCATTTTCTCCCGCCCCACTTCCTCCATTCGCCTCTCGCTCTCCCTTGCCCCTTCCCCCAACTCACCCCCCCCACCACCCTTTTCCTCACCCCTTCCGCTCCCCCCACCGCACCCGCTATGCAGCAATGTGAACTCCACAGGCCCGTCCAAGGTGCTGTGTGCGGCAGCGGGTGTGTGTGTGGTCAACCAGGTTGCCACCTCTGCCTTCTGCAAGAAGTGCACCACCTTCTGCAAAGTCTGCACGCCCCCTGGAAGTGAGCCCTTAAAGCCCTTCTTCTCGGAACTGCATGCATATGTTTTCCAAGAGTTTTGTCGTGTAGATCCTTCTTCTCTGCGCCCACACACTTTTCCGTTCGTCTTTTTCTTTTTTTTCCCTTTTTAGTTCTTTGAGTTTTCAGGATGGCCTCTACTGTTCCCAGGGATTCATCGTGCTCTTCCCTGCATTTTCCTTTCGTGGTTGATTTTTGCAGATAACACTAACCCCGCCGCGGTGCCTACCCCTGCTGTTCCTGTTCCTCCTGTTCCTGCTCCGACCGCCACTCCCCCAGTCGCCTCTCCCCCCCCGCCTGCTCCTTCCCCCACCACAGCTGCACCACCGCCTGCTCCTGTCACAGCTTCCCCTTCCACCCCCACTGCTTCCCCACCTCCTCCTGCTGCTGCACCTGGCGCACCTGCCGCCACGGTACCTTCTCCTCCGCCTCCCCGTGCTGGAGCTATTTATGGCGTTGGCTTCGGCACGCTGCTGGCCTCCCTGGTGTCGGCAATGGCGCTGGACTTGCTGCTGTAGAGACACTACTTTTGAGGTGGAATTCAGGGAAAAACTGTGACTACTTCAGGGGGGCGTGGGAGTAGTGTTTGTCACTGCTTGTTGGTGCGATATCAATCAAGTGAAGGAGCATTCCTGTACGAAACAGGAGTTAGCACTACCGAGTACGAAGTCGAGGAGTCAGACGAGTCGAAGCAATGGAAGCAGTTATCAGATGAAGACCGATACAGGCAGAAAGCATTTGAGTAGGAAATGGAGAGAACGGATTAACATGCGTTCCCGCATCGCATGGTTGGATTTTGATGCAATAAGGGAATGCACCCCTTAGAGTACATGGCTAGCTAGGTAGTTTCGTATTCCTCTGTGATTTTATATTAACCTATGTATGTCTTTGTTTTAGTTTAGTCATTTTACATCACTCTGACTCTGAGTCATCACTTACCGTACCCTGCAAAATCACTCTCCGATCAACCCCGAGCAGAGACAATCCTGGCAAAGCCCTCCGTGGGATTGTAACACTTGTTAGGTAGCTATCCGCTATCGTTCGAAAGGTCATCTTTTCGACAGTGTTAGTATACCAGGGCCCTAGATATCAGACTTTTTACTCTGATTCAGAGTTCGTTCAGACTTTTTTTTGGTACCTAGGCTGAACTCAAAGTTTTTTTTAATGTACCTTGTCTGATTTTTCAGAGTTTTTTTTTATGACTTGGCTGAAATTTCAGCCTAATTTTATGAGTGTAGGCTGAGCCCTCAGCCTTGTATCGGGCGGGCACACTGAATCCGGCAATACAGGGATTTCCGCCAGCCTGTAGGATTACCGGTAACACTGTCAATCACGGGCGGGAAATCAAGTTTTCCCCCGCGAGGCCCCGCACTGTCGCGTTGGTACAGCAAAGCGGCCAATCAGGGTTGCGCAGCAGGCAGCGTTGGCAAGAATTGTTGCCAACGCATGGCTCTCAGTCTCAGCGCGCTACGCCTCGTACGGCACCACAAACCTCCACCCCACCCCACCTTCCCTGCAAACACGACCGCTCTGCTCCAAGAGACAGGGAGCCTTCAAGGGCTGTAGAGGTTGAGCGTGCTCCTGTAGAGGTTCAGACTCTGACTCAGATATGTGACATGTTTTATTGTGTTTTTTATGAAAGTTTTACAGCTAACTCTGAAAATTCAGCCTAAAAAACTATGAGTTGTCTGATTTTTCAGCCTAAAATTTTGGGGCCACGCTGACTCACAGAGTTCTAACAGGGGTGCACGCTGATCGATCAGCGTGCCTCAAAACGAATCTAGGGGCCTGTAGTATACCATTGTACAGGTGAGGTTAAATTATTCTAATATCACTAAACAATATGGAACAGCGAATAAGGTAAACTTTCTCCAACAACTCAATAATCAGGTTACCGTATCTCAGCATGCCGGCCCAACCTGCGGCGCGCAACAACATGCGGGAGGCGCCTGGACAACATTCTGTTTGCGTGGACGCTATCGCTCCCTCACTCACGTCGCGCCCTCGCAATGCTTGTCTACCCTCCCAGTTGCCCCGTGTTCCTGCAAGGGGTGAATTTTAATCTCCCTCTGCTGTCTGCCTCCCTCCACTCCATCCATCCAGCTTTTGTCAAATAGACTCATATGGTGCGGTGTACTAGTTGTCTTTCGCTCGCCTCGCCACTCCGTCGATTTGTCTCCATCCACTCTTGATCGCTCCCGCTTCGCTCACACCGATCACTGCCGACCTGATTACAATCATCCTCACCGCAAACGGCGCAGGCACCGCAACATCGTTAGTCGAAATGGAGACAAGCACGTTGAGAGGTTTGCATTGACGACTTTGCAAACAAGCAGCAGAGGGTTAGCAACAGTGTCGTCGTTGTCGTCGCAACGTTCCGTCGTCATGCCGTAGGCCATCGCGTGCGTTCTGCTGTGTTCTTCGCGGTGGTCGCAGGGAGAAAGTGGGAGCCGTCGTAAGGTATACGGTGCTGTACTGCGCTTTTATGTGGTGTAAGACTCAAAAATCATTGGGGCAGTAGAAAGTGCTACATCGAACTTAAATTCGAGTCAATCCGACAATCTTCCTCGCCGCGTGCTGCTACGACGACGCGCGATCGCCAATCCCCCCCAGTTTTTTCTCCGGATTTTCTTGCCTTCCCGGCCTCCTCCCGCTCCTCCTACTCCCGCTCCCCCGTTCTTCCCCTCTCCTCTTCCCCTTCCCGCTTCCCCCATCCGGCTACTATCCCCTGCCCGCTTTTCCGCATACGGCGCGGTGCATTGCGGAAAAGGTTTCCACCTGCGAGAAATGGGGGATTCTGCTGAAAAGCATCCGAAATGCATACAGAAGTATCCAGAAAGCTGCAACCTAGAAATCGATATCTACCCCCACTTCGCACATGAGGGGTTACGTGCTCTGGGAATCGGTGCCGAATTGAACAATGTGTGCGACTTTCTTGAGACTTCCGCGGCTAGACAAACAATGAAAAAGTCATCGACATTAGCTGGCTCCCCTGTGGGGGGAGGGGGTCTACCGGGGGGGGACTGGTACCAAGAAAAGAGGCGCTAGGGGGGCCGGGTGGGACGCGTGCGGGTGGGGCCTATAGTAACAGACAGACTCGTCAAAGGTGACGTCCTGGGAGGAGAAGACTCGACGCGAGCGCGGGTGGTAAAACTGCCACGGCGGGGCATCGGTGGGGAAGCCAAGGAAGACGCAGCGGAGAGTGCGAGAGGAGAGCTTGTTCGCTTTGGCATCGCAAACATGGGAGAGCGCGCCCCATACCCGAAACACTGACGCATCGCCAACCTTCCCCGTCCACCGGAGTGTGGGCGAGGTCTCTGGCTCAGAGACATGGGGCCAGAGGTTGAGCTGATGCGCAGCGTACCGGGCCGCAAATGGCCACAGAAAATGGGGAGCAGCCGCATGGATCATGGAGGTACGAGCAACCTCCATGATCAAGCCAATGCGACGCTCAGCAATCCCATTTTGCTGAGGAGAGGTCGGAAGCGTGAACGACTGGACGATGCCCTCGTCTCGACAGAACTACGCAAGAAGGTCAGAAGAGAACTCACCGCCCCTGTCAGAGTGCAGACGCAAGACTGGGAAGTCCCGACTGAACCGCTCGCGCAGTTGGCGACGAGTAGCACGGATCCAGGGGATCAAAACACCGCTGACATCCGCCTTGCGCCGCAAGGGGAAGACAGTGGTGTAACGTGTGTAGTCGTCAACAACCAGTAGGAAGTAGCTCTCCTGGTCCGTTCCACCGACGGGGGCTGGGCCCCAAACGTCCATGTGGAGAGTCTGCAGAGGAGCAGTGGTCGGAAGAAACTCGGAGGAGTGAAGAGCGGCGCGTTGCCGCCCCTCGACGCAGGGAAGGCACGGCGGGGCAGGCGAGCGCGGGAGGGAGGGCAGGGACCTGGGAAGGCCAGAGACAAGGAGACGGGAGTGCATACCGCGGAGACGCGGTAGGGAGGGGTGACCGAGGTGGTGGTGCCAGAGGAGAGTCTGGTGGGAGAGTACCCGACACGAGCAAGACGCTGCAAGCTGACCAGACGCAGACACCCGACTCGACGCAGCCACCTGACCTGCCTCACCCACTTGTGCAGACGCAGTGGTCAGTGTGTACAGACTAGCCCCAGGCCGTTGAGTGAACGTAGCCAAGTGACGGCCAGTCCGGGAGCACGTACAGGTCGCCACACACTGCCCTCCTGGAATAAAGGTATCAACCCAGACATCCTGAATGGCAGCGTTGCTCACCAAGTTCATCAAGAATGTGGGAAGGTGGAGACCTGACAGAGAACCGGAGGGGACTGCTGGACACGGGAGAACAGTGGAGGCTCGTGCAACTACTGGGCCCCCAGTCGGGTCAGCCAGTGAGACCGGTACCGGTGCATCAAGTGGTGTGAGTGAGGTGGAGTCACGAAAGAAGCAACGTGACGCGCCTGAGTCAAGTGTGAAAGTGTGCAAGGCCTCAGCTAAGGAAGGACCTGTGGCAGGAGACGCACAAGCACCTAATGTTGCAGCAGACTCACTAGCATCTAGTGCTGCAGCAGACTCACTAGCACCTAGTGCGGCGGCAGACTCACTAGCACCTGGTGCAGCAGCCTCCACAGAACCAGTGACACATCACTGAGGAAACAACTCACTAAGCACCTGAGGGGAGAAGGTCTCCTGCTGAATCTGCTGCTGCCTCTGTGCAGTACGTAGAAAACCAAAGCCTCCACCACCTGGACGGGCTCGCTGAAGAACCAACTCGCGAAGCTGCTAAGGGGTGGGATCGTCCGAGAGAGGCAGTGACGGCCGCTGTCCACCTCTAGCCGCTGCAACTATCGTGAAAGTGGCCATGACAGGCAGTGACGGTCAATAGTAGGTCCAGCACCCCCGGCACCAGTAGCACCTCCAGCACTCCCAATCGCACGTCCGGCACCCCCAGCACCAGTAGCACTCCCTATCAGAATACTGGACGAGAATGAATGAACTATGAAAGATTTCGGTACAAGTACTAACCCTAATTGGGTTGTACCCCTTGTGGGCTACCCCACTATAGCCTACACAAAGTCACCACACATTCCAAGCACAAACAAAGGCCACAAGGCCAGTTCACTTGCAGAGTTATATAAAGGGAACAAGTAATACAGTGATCATACCCTAGCAAGTGTAAGCATGCAGACATTTATATCACAAAGTCACGCAGTGAGCAAGTGAGACAAAGTAGGCACAAGGCCTAACACAGTACAAAAACGCTAATGATCACCAGATTGAAGTGCCTTGGTGAATATATCAGCAGTGTTGGCCCTAGTGGCCATGTAAGCAAGACGAAGCTGACCACGCTGCTGCAACTCTCGAGCAAGGAAGTATCGCAGAGTGATATGCTTCGTTCAGTGCTCCAGTCTGTGCTCCTGACACAAGGCAATCATGGCCTTGTTGTCTACGTACAGAACTGGAGAAGAACGAGGCCGCTCTCCCAAGTCGGTCAGCAGGTAGGTGAGCCAACGTAGCTCATGTGCAGCCATGGCCCCTGCGTAGATCTCTGCCTCAC